CATTTCGGCCTTGGATGTGAAGACCACCACCTTTGCCATCATAAGCTGGGATTGTGCTCCATGGTTTCTCTCCAGGCACCTGACAAGGTGAAGGTCCCCTTTCTGTACCCCAAGACATTTCAGCCATGGATGTGGAGACCACCTTTGGCATCATAAGATGGGAATGTCCTGCGTGGGTTTCCTCCATTCCTCTACATAGGGCACCCAACAAGGTGAAGGTCCCTTTTTTGTACCCCCAAGACATTTCGGCCATGGAAGTGGAGACCACCTTTGGCATCATAAGCTGGGATTGTGCTCTATGGTTTCTCCCCATAAGGCACCCTACAAGGTGAAGGTCCCCTTTCTGTACACCAAGACATTTCAGCCATGGATGTGGAGACCACCTTTGGCATCATAAGATGGGAATGTCCTGCGTGGGTTTCCTCCATTCCTCTACATAGGGCACCCAAGATGAAGGTCCCTTTTTTGTACCCCCAAGACATTTCGGCAATGGAAGTGGAGACCACCTTTGGCATCATAAGCATGGGATTGTGCTCTATGGTTTCTCCCCACAAGGCACCCAACAAGGTGAAGGTCCCCTTTCTGTACCCCAAGACATTTCGGCCATGAATGTGGAGACCACCTTTGGCATCATAAGCTGGGAATGTCCTGCATGGTTTTCCTCTACATAAGCCACCCAACAGGATGAAGGTCCATTACTGTACCCCATAACATTTCGGCCTTGGATGTGAAGACCACCACCTTTGCCATCATAAGCTGGGAATGTGCTCCATGGTTTCTCCCCATAAGGCACCCAACAAGGTGAAGGTCCCCTTTCTGTACCCCAAGACATTTCAGCCATGGATGTGGAGACCACCTTTGGCATCATAAGCTAGGAATGTGCTGCATGGTTTTCCTCTACATAAGGCACCCAACAAGGTGCCCTCAACCTAAACTAATTCACGTTCATCCGTATATAGAACCAGAAGAAACACAAAGAGGAACCAACAAAGAAAGTTCTTCAAAATACAATATTTTTATTCAGATCATACCATGTCCTCCATACAGACACCAAGGAAGGTGGGAGCTTTCAATACTATAACCGGGCTTCATCTTGAGAGTAAGAGTACATTGCGCAAAATTGATCACCTGACCCTAGAAATCAGACATCCCTCCCTCAGAACATGAATAGGGCTTCTCACTGCCCTGAGATCCTTCATGCGCATGAAGACGTGATTCAGTGATTGGAGGTTTCTTAGGATTAGGCCTTGCAATATGAGGTTCCTCTGGATTATTCATCACCATATGAGGTTCCTCAGGATTATTCCACATCATAGAAGGTTCCTCAGGATTATGCCTCACAATAGGTTCTTCAGGATTATGCCTCACATTATAAGGTACTTCAGGATTAGGCCTCCACGTATGAGGTTCCTCATGATTATTCCACATCATATAAGGTTCATCAGGGTTATGCCTCACAAAATGACGTTCCTCTGGAGTATTCCACATCATATGAGGTTCCTCAGGATTATTTCACATCATATGAGGTTCTTCAGGATTATGCCTCACATTATGAGGTTCCTCAGGATTATTCCACATCAAATGAGGTTCCTCAGGAATATTCCACATCATATGAGGTTCCTCAGGGTTATCCCTCACAATAGGAGGATCTTTAGGATTAGGTCTCACAAAATTAGGTTCTTCGGGATTATGCCTCCCAGTATAAAGTTCCACAGAAATATGCCTCACAATAGGAGGTTCCTCTGGATTAAGCCTCACAGTTGGAGGTTCTTCAGGATTATGCCTCACAGTTGGAGGTTCTTCAGGATTATGCCTCACAGTAGGAGGTTCCTCTGGATTATGCCTCACATGTCAAGTGAAGGGAAAAAGGATATGAAGTCCAAAAATTGCCCCACATATAATGTCTATCTGATTTATACTTCATCTACTACCGTTTCCCATCCCCCCCTCATCTTTCATCTCAACTATACGGTACCTAAGAGTTACTGAAGCCCATCCCCGGGCTAACCAAAAGTCTACCCTTGTAGTGGGGCTGCCTCCGCACTGCATTGGTTAAGTGCTCGTTTATGTCTAGGGTCTGGAGTAAAGCATATTTTCTTACCTGATCCCCGCTCCCTTGGTGGTCGGCTCTCTCCTCTTCTCCCTCAGGCTGGTGGACCTTCCCTCATTGTCCTCACGTCTAATGAAAGTCTATGGAACCTTCAATAGATGTGATGACCTCAGTAGTCCTTAGACCTCTGGAGTGAAGAGGAGGAGAGCCTGCGGGGACCGGTCTATCAGCCCAGAAGGAGCTGGCGAGAAGGGGGGGATCAGTTAAGTAAATTGTCTTTACTTCAACCCACAGACATAAACGAGCACTTAACCCTTATAGTGCCACTGCAGAGGTAGTTCTCTTGGTTGCCCGAAGATGGTATTTACAGTTGGAACACCGTGTCAATATAATGACCCACATTAGGTTCCTTTTACTTCTCTATGCCTGACTCTTCAGACCTCCCAGAAGCGACTCCTCACTGATTGACATTTCACTGGGTGGTTTATGTGCCAACCAGCATATTGTAGTCCTTCCACGACACTTCAAAATGCAAATATTTTCATGGACCTTGAACACATCTCATTGTCAAATCTGTAAAGATTCCCACTAAAACATTTTCCTAGCACAGCTCTGTGCCTGTGTGAGATCTATGGTGCCTGATAAGGTTGTCTTTCCGTTGAAAGCATTTCCCGCACATAGAGCAGGAGTACGGCTTCTCGTCCGTATGGGTTCTCTGATGCAAGACGAGGCTTGATTTGTATACAAAACCTTTCCCGAACTCAGGACATGAATAAGGCCTCTCGCCCGTGTGAGATCTCTGATGTTCGGTGAGGTGGCAAGGCCTTTTAAAAAATTTCCCGCACTGTGAACAGGAATACGGCCTCTCACCTGTGTGGGTCTTTTCATGCAAAGAAAGTTCTGATTTTTGGACGAATCCTCTCCAGCACTCAGGGCAGGAATGCGGCTTGTAACCCAAGTGATGTTTTTGATGCTTCGTAAGAGCCGATTTATGCTTGAAACTTTTCCCGCACTCGGAACATGAACACGACTTGTCACCCCGGTGAGATTTTTGATGTCTGCTAAGATCCGATTTCTGTATAAACCCTTTGCCACACTCGGGGCAGGAATGTGGTTTGTCCCCCGTGTGAAGTTTTTGATGCATAATCCAGGCTGATTTGTGTTTGAAGCCTTTCCCGCACTCGGAACACGAATAAGGCCTCTCCCCGCGGTGAGAATTTTGATGTCTGACAAGATCGGATTTCTGCAGAAAACTCTTCTCACACTCGGAACACGCATGGGACTTTAGTCCCGTGTGAATTTTCTGGTGTCTGACAAGATCACATCTATATGAAAAATTCTTTCCGCACTCGCTGCAATGAAAAGGTTTCTGATTGTGGAGAACTCTCTGGTGTTCAGCTAACTGTGTTTTAAATAAAAACAAATTACCGCACTCAGGACATGAATAGGACTTCTCACGGCCCTGAGGTCCTTCATGTGCATGAAGACTTGGTTCAACGATGGGAGGTTCCTCAGGATTATTCCACATCATATGAAGTCCCTCTGGGTTATTCCTCACCATATGAGGTTCCTCTGGGTTATTCCACATCATATGAGGTTCCTCAGTATCGTAGAGATCTCTTGATCCATCCACATTCTGAAGTCTTGCATAGACCTTTGAGGTAGATAGGTCTACGCTAAAACAATCTTGTGTGAGGTCCTCATCTTCCACTTTACAGTTAGGAGATGTGGAAAGGAGTTCCTCTGAGGTTTTGATGTGGTGTCCATCTACTGAAAAAATATAAAAGAAGAAGTCCATCACTAGGAGATACAAATTATGGTTCTTTTAAAGTAAGATTTGTTACGGGCCAGGAAAATTGGCTTCCCATCTAAATTTTGAACCAGTAGGTCCATTAGTCCACTCCACCATCATGTGAAGGTCCACAGAACCTCCTACCAGTTCCCTCCCGCACCCACACATGGACTGAATACATTGTTTCTATGTGTGTATTAGATGATGGGGGATGTAGACGGAGCCTCCGTACTGCTCTCTCCTCTTACCCGGTGATGTGAGGGGCGGGGCATTCTCCATCACCACGTCCTTGTAGAGATCCCGGTGTCCTTCTAGATACTCCCACTCCTCCATGGAGAGATAGACAGAGACATCCTGACACCTTATAGGAACCTGACACACACAATGATACAGTCACCATCCAGACACATCCCTTGTCTGTTCCTGGATCATGTCCCAGAATTCCCGGCACCGCTCACCTCTCCCGTCACCACCCAGACACGCCCCTTGTCTGTTCCTGGATCATGTCCCAGAATTCCCGGCACCGCTCACCTCTCCCGTCACCACCCAGACACGCCCCTTGTCTGTTCCTGGATCATGTCCCAGAATTCCCGGCACCGCTCACCTCTCCCGTCACCACCCAGACACGCCCCTTGTCTGTTCCTGGATCATGTCCCAGAATTCCCGGCACCGCTCACCTCTCCCGTCACCACCCAGACACGCCCCTTGTCTGTTCCTGGATCATGTCCCAGAATTCCCGGCACCGCTCACCTCTCCCGTCACCACCCAGACACGCCCCTTGTCTGTTCCTGGATCATGTCCCAGAATTCCCGGCACCGCTCACCTCTCCCGTCACCACCCAGACACGCCCCTTGTCTGTTCCTGGATCATGTCCCAGAATTCCCGGCACCGCTCACCTCTCCCGTCACCACCCAGACACGCCCCTTGTCTGTTCCTGGATCATGTCCCAGAATTCCCGGCACCGCTCACCTCTCCCGTCACCACCCAGACACGCCCCTTGTCTGTTCCTGGATCATGTCCCAGAATTCCCGGCGCCGCTCACCTCTCCCGTCAGCAGATCCATCATCTTCTTGGTGACGTCTAGAACCTTCTGCATGTTGGGTCTCTCGGGTTTTAGGGAGTCACATGGGGGCACTGTGATGGTCGCATGGTCACCAGACTTCAGAAGAGGAAAACTCTGAAAGAACAAGGATATTACGTGACCTCCCAGAATCCTCCTCACCTCTCCGGTCAGGTCAGGGGGTTATCAATAAAGATCAGGG